TTTTTTTTATCAGGCGGTCCCTTGATAAGTTTAAAATTTGAATCACTCTCAAGTGAGAGTGATTCAAATACTCTCAAGTGAGAGTGATTCAAATGGTGCGGCGTACCTTCCTTGAGGTGCGCTGCGGTAGTGTGTTACGGACTTTAGAGTCAGCAAAACAATTAAAATAGATTGTAATAGTCTAAGAAAAACACGTACTCAAAATACGATAACATTCAGCATGCTAGAAATGGGCAGATGGCACTGTACTACGCCATATCTTTATGTTTTGCGGCAAACGACAACTTTATAAAATCAGTGTAGCAAATTTTAAAAATCGTCATATCGTTTACTTGGCAAATTTGAAGCACGAACTCGTCTTAGATTTCACATAATATCTAAATCACATCATCTTTGCACATAACAATATACTTACTTCCTATTAAAGTATAAATTCTACAAATACATTCACTCAACAATATTTAAAATAAAATGAGCCAAGAACGTTTATCGATAAAACCTACTAACATTAAAATCTTCTGGGAAGCACTAAAACCGCCATGTTTTGTGGCCAGATGACGTCACAGTGGCACGAATTTTTTGTTGACGTTTCATTTGCATAGGTTTCCTACTTCAGTGGTTAAAACACAGACAGACTACAGCTTAATATTATTATGGTTAATGAATGAACTAAGAATATAAACGAAAGGGGAGTTGACAAGGGAAAGAAGAAATTTGAGATCAATGGGGCGAGGAATATCAGGAGGAAGGAGATCATACTTCAGTGGTTCTGGATTGGTAACGACAATAGCTGCCACTTTGACGTCTGTCACCCGAACTGTCAAACCGGACTGCGGGTGTTGACCAAAAAGCTTTAAATAGGAAATTATATTTTATGAAAATATCCTACTAAAGTAGCGATAACATTATTTTAGATTTTCTCTTGGATTGCCCTTGCGAACTGGGCAGAGGTTAATTTGGATTTTTGTCTTTGAAACAGTCACGAGTGTCACACTGATATTTGTATGAATAAGCCTTTGAAGGAAGCCTATGGTTTTTCTATGATTCATAAATAATACGTGAGTGAAACCGCAGAGCACAATTGGATAAGGCAATTAAATTAAATTTATTTTCTTCACAACATTGTTTTCTTGTATTTTTTTTCAGTAATAAAATGAAGTGTAATTGTGATTACGTTCTTCATTGCAACACTTTGGAGCCGCATTACGACAACTGTGCTACCGTATGGGAGACATCGCACCCAGGAAAGGAATACCCGAAGTGAGATTCAATTTGAAGTTATTAGAAGCTGACCGGACAGTACTGAATCCGGTAGCACTACAGGAGTTATTTTATTTTATACGCTTTATTTTTTTATTGCTTAGATGGGTTGACGAGCTCACAGCCCACCTGCTGTTAAGTGGTTACTGGAGCCCATAGACATCTACAACGTAAAAGCTCCACCCACCTTGAGATATAAGTTCTAAGGTCTCAAGTATAGTTACAACGGTTGCCCCACCCTTCAAGTCGAAACGCATTACTGCTTCACGGCAGAAATAAGCGGGATGGTGGTAACTACCCGCGCGGACTCACAATCACAAGAGGTTCTACCATCAGTAATTACGCAAATTATAATTTTGCGGGTTCGACTTTTATACACGATATTATTCCTTCACCGTGGAAGTCAATCGTGAACATTTGTTAAGTAAGTACATTATATTTCATTATAAAAATTGGTACCCGCCTGCGGGATTCGAACACCGGTGCATAGTTAGATATTGATGCACCGGACCGGACGTCTTATCCTTTAGGCCACGACGACTTCAGTTAGGGCATGTGCTGATTGTCTCGGCTGTCGCCCGAAGTTAGCCATCGCCAAAATGCCACCACTACAGTGTCTGTATGCATCGCTTTCGCGGACCAACGCCGCGTCCTCGTCACGAAGATAGGTCCGGACTTACTGCCGACCGTCGTAGCTACGATGCTCAGGAGTGACGAGTTCTGGCAGTTGATATTCGACTTCTGCGAGTCCACCACCACGTGAAAGAAGGTGGGGGATCGAAAGAACGAGAACTCTTCTTCCGTCACGGCGCAGTGTTGCAGACGTTGTACTATGACTGTGAATCTGGGACTTTAGAAGTCACGTCTCAAGCTGCATTTACGTTGTCCATGTCTATGAGCTCCGGTAACAATCTAACATGAGGTTGGCCGTGAGTTCGCCCAATAATTGAAGCAACAAAAAAAGCAGTTACGTATTTCGGTTCAAAATGTACTATAAGTCTTTGTATTAATTTGACTGAGTCTTCAATTTGGCGTCTGACTCTTTGAAACTGCATGTTCGTTCAGTTGTCTTCGTGCACCAGTACCTGCATAGCGTTAGATTTATAGTTCGACTATCTACTTTAGCTAGATAGAAATATTGTTACGCGCTGGGGTTCGGGATAAATAAAAAATTCTACCGAAGTGCAAATTAAACCTGTATTATCACTTAGAACACTCACAGAACACTTTAAAGTTCTTAATTCACTTCTTCCGCTTCGCTTCAGGTGATACGTTCGCTGTTTCGCTTTGAGTAGATCCAACTAACTTCGTGTCATCTCTGCATCGCTTTTATAGTCGAGACGACATTCCTCTCAAAGTTCTTTTGATATTTATTTCGGCTATTCCGCGATAGATGGCGTTATCGGCCCTTATCGGCGTAACAATACGATTTAAATTAGAACCTAAAGATCTCTATAAAGCACGTACCACCTTCTCATTCACAGAAACGCAGATGGCACCATGCGCTTGCCAAATAAGAACTTGGATAAGTTGGAATCCGATGTGTTGTATCATTTGGGCTTGGATACGAAAAATTACGATCTGCCCGCTTTGTTCGGTGATGTCAAGGTAGTATAAAGAATGCTTTGTTTTTTTAACACGCTTTTTTATTGCTTAGATGGGTGGACGAGCTCACGGCCCACCTGATGTTGAGTGGCTACCGAAGCCCATAGACATCTACAACGTAAATTCTACCACCTACTTTGAGACATGAGTTCTAAGGTCAAACTTTTAACAGTATGACGGCTGCCTCGCTCTTCAAACCGAAACGCATTACTGCTTCACGGCAGAAATAGGCAGGGCGGTGGTACCTACCCGTGCGGGCTCACAAGACGTGTCCTACCACCAGCAGTTACATAAATTATAATTTTGCGGTTTGAATTATAATTTTATTACACGATGTTTCTTTAGTCTGATACGTACTTGTGCAATGCAATCTTTGAACGTCATCTTTATCGTTTTCAAGATGTCCGATTGAGTGAAAAATTGCACACGCCTTAACCCTTAGCTTCCATGTAGCCGGTAGCCTGCTAAGCTCCTGGATTGCAAAGCATAACTGCATAAGTTTTCTTTTCTTTTTAATGTACATTTTAGCCCATTAGGTATCTTAGGAATAGATTCAATCTCATCATCTTCGGATAGCCTTTCACTTTGATTGCACAAAACAAAACTTGTACACAGGCGGACTTAATGCCATGGGCATTTTCTTCCAGTCGACCATAGGATGATGCAGAGATAATGCATGGTAGGTGCATTAACAAAAGAATAACAAACAATAACAACAAAACAAAAAAAAGAACAAACTCAAAACAAAAATCTTCCTTAAAACAACATCTCAGTATTATAGAATACACATAATGTTAAATATAGGTACTTATATAGATTACATATGACTTTGTATGCAAAAATAAACATACTATAATTTAATATACCTATGTATAAAATAGTAAAATACATACATACACATAATTACATACAATATAATATACATGTAAAGTACAAGGGGAGATGGCGCGACATCGTGAGACGCATTAAGTCTGCCCCTTCCAACACTACGTGACGATCACGACCACTCTGTCAAGAGTGACACGACTGAGAAGAAGAAAAAAAGTAATAATATATATATACACATGAAAATACACAATTTAGTATTTTTCGAATGGGTTGGCGACATAAAGAGTTATTTGTCTGTTTTTTAAAAGATTTTGTTGTTTTTTTTCTCCTTACAGTTCGTATGTATAGGCGGCACAAAGCATAGAATGAGAGAATTCGCGGAATTTGTTTCATTTAATGTTTTCCATCGAAAAAACGTTAAATTGGTTAACCTTACGAAGCATTCGCATCGTTACGCGACTTACAAAGTTGGACCAGTCCTAAGTGTCAGTGTAAGTATAAAAAAAGAGTGCGTCTCAGAACGCCCGACAGAAGTGATAACTTAAAGGACCTTTTTTTTTTCTTTCTTTTATTGCATTGATGGATGGACGAGCTCACAGCCCACCTGGTGTTAGTGGTTACTGGTGCCCATAGACATCTACAACGTAAAAGCGCCACCCACCTCGAGATATAAGTTCTAAGGTCTCAGTATAGTTACAACGGCTACCCCCACCCTTCGAACCGAAACGCATTACTGCTTCATGGCGGAAATAGGCGGAGTGGTGGTACCTACCCGTGCGGACTCACAAGAGGTCCTACCACCAGTAATTACGCAAATTATAATTTTTGCGGGTTTCATTTTCATTGCACGATGTTATTCCTTCACCGTGGAAGTCAATCGTGAACATTTGTTGAGTACGTATTTCATTAGAAAAATTGGTACCCGCCTGCGGGATTCGAACACCGGTGCATCGCTACATACGAATGCCCCGGACGTCTTATCCTTTAGGCCACGACGACTTATCTAATCTAAGTTGAACTATTGAAATTGTTTAACTTGAGAAAAGTTTATGTTATTGCTTAAGTTTTATGTACATTCATATGATAATGCAAGAAAATTTGTAATATAACATATCTATCTAGATATACAAAAAATTATTGCTGTTCGTTAGTCTCGATTTGGCTAATTTTGGTCTTGAATTATTTGTGTTAGTCCAGAGAAGGTTAAAAAGGTAGATAAATATGAAAATGCTCGGTATTAAATAAAAATAACAATTTTGTTTTCCCTTTGATGTGTCCCCCATAGAACGGATTCCTTTCGTTTGTTTTAAGTCTATTTTTTACAAAAGTTTAGGTGTTTTATTTATCGATTGAGGCACTACGAAGTCTGCCCGGTCAGCTAGTTATGAATAAAGGAGTTGATAATTCGTTTTAAACAATTCTCTGTCTCTATATCTAACGTATCTGTACTGAATAACGCCCAAGGAAATTCGATTTTGAGTATTATTCTTATTTTCAGCACGGGATCGGTATACCGTCTATGACAACGGTCCTACAAGAGATCATTAAGCTGCTGCATTACGCCAAGGCTGTCGACCCTATAGTGTTCAGAATTGGCACATCGGGGGGGCTCAGTATACCACCAGGTTCCGTCGTTGTATCGAGCTGGGGCCTAAACGGATATTTGGAGAAGAGTTACGATATTGTGAGGATAAACTTTTTGTTGTCATAGAAGAAAGGCCGTCGTCGTGGCCTAAAGGATAAGACGTCCGGTGCATTCGTGTCGAGCGATGCACCGGTGTTCGAGTTCCGCAGGCGGGTACCAATTTTTCTAATGAAATACGTACTCAACAAATGTTCACGATTGACTCCCACGGTGAAGGAATAACATTAAGTAATAAAAATCAAACCCGCAAATTTTAATTTGGTGGTAGGATCTCTAGTGAGTCCGCGCGTATAGGTACTACCACCCCGCCTATTTCTGCCGTGAAGCAGTAATGCGTTTCGGTTCGAAGGGTGGGGGTAGCCGTTGTAACTATACTGAGACCTTAGAACTTATATCTCGAGGTGGGTGGCGCATTTACGTTGTAGATGTCCATGGGCTCCAGTAACCACTTAACACCAGGTGGGCTGTGAGCTCGTCTATCCATCTAAGCAATAAAAATAAAATAAAAAAAATAACGTTTATGTCGCGTTACGGTGCAAGTGGTTGCAGTTTCTGATGCACATGAACAATATCAGAAAAAAAAAACAATATATTATGTTCACTAATGAATCACAGACAATTACAATGATTGAACATTCAAGACAACATCTTTATCGTTTCAATTATAATTGTAATTAAGTTGAAATTCGAAACAAGAGTTCAATAAAAATATAACAACTTTCTAAGTGTTACATTATAAGGCAACTGTATTTGTTTACGAATTGTAACAAAATGCGAAATCTTTAATTTAACTAGAGGTCCCGCAGTAGTCGAAATTCGACTATAATTAATTGGAATTGTAAGTTTGTACACTATTATGATTTTATTTTATACTTCTACTAGCTGACCCGGCAAACGTTGTGTTGCCTTAAATAAGATTTCTAGGGAAATTCTACTCTAGAAAAAAAAACCCTCATTTAACCACATAATACCTCATTATATAAAAAAATAAATATCCAAAAAAATTAAATAAAAAATAAATGTTTGGGGTGGACAACCCTTTTCACTTAGGGGTATGAAAAATAGATAGTAGCCGATTCTCAGACCTACTAAACATACTATTAATACACAAATAAAACCAAAAAAACATGGCTGAAAAATGTATAGTGAGTAAGACAGGAGACCGGCTTCGTCCTCATCCCTACTACGTGATATTTGCTGGATAAGAGGTGACACCTGGTGCAGATAACTGATCGATTGACAGTTGATCCGTAGTCGACCGGCGCGGGCGGGAAATCAAATTCAATTTAAAAAAAAACATAATTAAAGGAACTTGAAATTATAAACTCTGAATAAGAATTTATCGTCCTACAATTATAATATTTGATTGCCATCTTGCAACCTTATTGCGGATCTGTGCATAGAATAAAAAAATATTAATCGGGATGAAAAATAGGGGTTGATCGTATAAGAGTGAAAATTGAGAGAAATATGATTATTTTTATTTTAAGTCATGACAAAACAAAATAAAAAACTTGCCAATAAAATTTAAGTTTATAATTAACAAATAAAAAATAGGGGTAGATCTTAGAGGGGTGAAAATTTCAGAGTAATATGAATTTTTTTATTCTACGTCATGACAAAATAAAAACAAAATTTTCGCAAAAAAATTTAAAGTTTTTAATTAGCAAATAAAAAATAAGGGTTGATCGTAGAGGGATGAAAATTTAGGGTTGTATGTATTTTTGTATGTTGTATCATAAAAAAATAGAAATTAAAAAATTTGTCTAAAAAATAAAATAAAAAATTTAGGGGTGGACTACCCCTAACATTTAGGGGGATGAAAAGTAGATGTTGGCCGATTCTCATAAATACTGGATAAGCACAAAAAATTTCATCAAAATCGGTCAAGCCGTTTCGGAGGAGTATGGCAACGAAAACTGTGACACGAGAATTTTATATATTAGATAATCACAAATTTCGCCAAGACTACAACATAAAAAATATTAACAAATACAAACAATATTTAATCTCAATTTGACAACAGACGTCAAGAACAAAAGTTTGACAATAAATAGTATGCATGCGTGTGTGCGTCAAATACATAGTATGTAGTGTGTGTAATGTTTTCTTTATTGATTTAATGTATCTTTTATGCATTATTTAAAAAAAATATTAATATTGTGCACTTCTTCTCTATATTCTCTATAAGTGTACAAAATTTCATACTCCTCCGTCCGCGCAATTTTCGTAAAAAGGGATACAAAGTTTTTGCTTCACGTATTAATATATAGATTTAGCAGTACTCTTTGTATTTCCTTGAGACATTTCGTTTATCTTTCCAGCCGGTTATGGGTCGATCATTAAAGCTACCCGCTATTTTAGATAAAAGATTGAGTCAGGAAATATATTCTATGGCATCTGAGGAGGATGAGTTTCAAACATATCTCGGAGGCACGATGGGCGCCGATGATTTTTACAGAGGTAAGCTTGTGTTGGTAGTAAATTTATTATTAACAAGCGGACCGCTCAAGTTTCGCTCGGGTCTTTAAAAAAAATTTCAACGATATTTGACGTTATTTTGTTTTTTTTAAATAAAAGAACACTTATTGCGGCGTAACTATAATAGTTAGTTTTTGTAAATAATAATGTGTTCTGTACAAAGTCGTGGTACATTATTTTATTCTATCATCAATAGTTTTCGCAGGGCACGCGATGTAAAGAATATTTTAGGTAATTTTTTAACACCTTGCGTTACATTATTGGAGTTTTAGTAAGAATCCCTAATTAAAAAAATATATATTAGCTAGTCTTGCCATAAATACTGAGACAAAGGAAAGAAAAATCTATTGCAAATAACATTTATTACTTTTACAGTGTGTTAGTTTAATACATAAATATACAACAATTTAAAGTATAAAAAGCTTATTCGAAGTGGTCTCCATTGGCTGCAATACAGTCCTTTAAACGTTGAGGCCAGTTATCAATAGAAGCACGAACTCTTTCCATGGGAAAAATTTTCACTGCCAATCGTACGGTTTGTTTTAGGGACTCCAAATTATCATGGCGTTTAGAGCAAGCCGTACTCTCTAAAACTGACCATAAATCATAATCCAGCGGATTCAGATCGGGACTAGACGACGGCCAGTCTTCAGCTCTGATGAAGTCCGAAACCTTCGTTTCCAACCAAGACTGCGTAGACCGAGCTTTATGACCTGGCGCCAAGTCTCGCTGGAAGGACCATTCTTGATTGTTGAATATGGTGTTGTTAAGGGGCTTCACTGCCTTCTCAAGAATGGTATCTTGATACGCTTGTGAAGATGTTTTGATACCTTTTTCACAAAAGTAAGGCTCAGTCACTCCTTCATAGCTAATACCCCACCAAACCATCACTGAAGTCGGATAGTGCCCACGTTGCACTCTGTCGACTAATTGGGAAGCTTCCTTAGAGCTTTGAGCATAAATACGGTCATTTTGTTTGTTAAAATGTTGCTCAATTGTAACAATTTTCTCATCCGTAAACAAAAATTTTCTATGACCTCCCTTTGCGTACCGCTTCAGTAGTTGTTTCGATTTTACCACCCTATTCTCTTTTAAATTATCAGTTAAGAAATGACCAGTACGTCTCTTATAAGCTGCAAGTCCTAAGTCATCTTTTAAAATACGCGAAAAGGTTCTAGGTGCTATCTTCATCTCCCGAGATAAAATCTTTTGCTTTCGGACAGGATTTCTTCGAATTCTTTCCCTTACTGCTTTGACCACCTTTTTCGTACGAACACTACGTGGACGGCTAGATCTTTTTCTGTCACAAACAGAGGATGTCTCATTGCACCTATTAATAGCCCGGTACATAAACATTTTACTAATACCAAGCGTATGGAGAGTTTTAAAAATTGCATTTGGCTCCATACCTACTTTGTGTAATGCAATCACAGCGATTCGGTTCTCTTTATCACCCCACTCCATTTTAATATCGCAAAATATTGTACAATATACTGTCGCCAAAATGAGAAAATTCAATGAGCAATCATATAAAAATGACAGATTCCAAATTCAAATGTCATATTTTGTTTATTTTTAATTGTAACAGTATTTATGGCCAGACTAAGTATAGCCTATGTTACTCGGAAATAGTGTAGCTTCTAAATAGTATAAGAATTTTTCAAATCGGTTCAGTACTTTCGGAACCTATTGAATACAAACAAACAAATCTTTCCTCTTTATAATATTAGTATAGATAAGATTTTAATTAAAATTGACAGTACTCGATATGGTTTTATTTTACTACACCAAATACAAAGATGTAGATGAACGAATGATTGAATGAATGGAATTAAATTACGTGTAGATACAAATGTTTCCTTAGAAAGAATAATCCTTTTTTATTTTATACAAATCTTAATCTCCGATACAAAAAATGTACATATTCTTCTACGAAATCTAATATTCCAAAAATTTTCAAAAGGCGGGACTAGTTTAAAAATATATATCAAATGAAGAACATTGCGGTTTATTTTGTTAGCCTTGAAAGCGTAGGCGTGGAAGAGAGACAACAAGTGGTTAGCAAGTTGCTATGTTTGTCCATGCACAAGAACAACATAAGGTACACAGCCAGATCCTTATCTAAGACAGAGAGAGAGACAGAAGTTCATTCCAGAACTGAATGCTCGTAATATCTAGTAATAAATAACACGCACGCATTATTAATAAAATACGCGAAATTGAACCGTTAAAACGCTTTTAATTATTATTTCATAGATATTTTTGTTTCATTTACCCACAGGTCAAGCCCGTTTGGATGGACCTTTCTGTGATCACACAGAAGAGGACAAGCTGGAATTCCTTGAGAAATTATCAGAAATGGGTGTGAGGAATATAGAGATGGAGGCGCCCGCTTTTGCGGCGTTAACAAAAGAAGCCGGTATACGAGGGGCGATCGTTTGTGTTACTCTATTAAACAGACTTGAAGGAGATCAGGTTCGGTCCTTTAATAATAGATGGCGCTGTACTCAATTTAAGAAATTGATCATTAAGTAATCAACTTCGCCTAATTCATTTTTTTATGTATACATACTGAGTATTTAAGCAATTGTTTTAATAATGTAGTATAGGAAATTGGAAAGATATCTTTCTCATCTTTCAAGTGCAACAAAAAAAATCTTTTTGTGAAAAGACATCGCAATTCGTCATAAAATTACTTTAAGTATATTATGTAGAAAATAAAATTACTAACAAACAACAGTAGGTATCTGGAATATAATATGTTTTATATCTTTCTGAACGTTTTGACATTTTTATTTTTTATTTTGAACAATTTAACATATTTAAAATGAATTTTTTTTTTAGTTTCCTTAAAAAAGAAATACAGATTTTTGGTTTATTTGAAACATAGGTTTATGTCTTCTGTGACTATGAAAACTGGGGGTAAATTATTCCGAGCTTGCATACGCATAGCACGATTTTAATCGTTTCTGTCGAGGCAGAACTGGTACTGTACTGGTAGTAGGATCTCTTGTGAGTCCGCAAGGGTAGGTACCAACACCCTACATATATCTGCCGTGAAGCAGTAATGCGTTTCGGTTTCAAGGGTGGGGTAGCCGTAACTATACTGAGACCTTAGAACTTATATCTCAAGGCTGGTAGCGCATTTACGTTGTAGATGTCTATGGGCTCCAGTAACCACTTAACATCAGGTGGGCTGTAAGCTCGCCCATCTAAGCAATAAAAAAAAGCAGTTGTGCGCTCTGGGTTGAAGGAAACGACAGCCGTTCCATTCTTGACATGATGTCAAGTGGAACTGTATTGTATGTTACTCATGGTGGGTGCGTCATTCACATCGTGCCTATGAGCTTTAGAAGCCAATGACCATAGACCTATTCTAGGACGACAAATGAATTTGCTGATAATCTTTAATCTAATCTAATTACAACTTAAGACGTTGAGCGCCGTGTGATACATCGGTGGGCCTAGCGTACTATACCATTCGTGCCAAGCCAAAATCAGGGAATCAGTAATTTTTATTAACTTGAGATTGTCATTTTAAAATTTATAAAATGCGATAATTTGAACGGAAGATAAAAATTAGCGCCTTTTATCGCCTAGTTTTTAAGATATTTTAAAATGCTATAATCTTGATAAAAACTGATGATGAAAGGCGATTGCATGCAGCAGAGATGCGAATGTTTGCTACGGATGTGGGAAGTAACGAGAATGAATAGAGTACGGAATGAATATGTTAGAGGAAGTTTGAAAGTGGCGCCTGTAACAGAGAAGTTAAGAAGTGCGCGTTTGGGATGGTATGGACACGCGATGAGACGACATGAAAATGAGATTGGTTAGAGAATGTTAACTATGAATATCAAAGGATATAGAGGAAGAGGTAGACCTAAGAAGAAATGAATGGATTGTGTAAAATACGATATGGGTAAGAGGGGAGTGAGCGAAGAAATGGTATATGATAGAGGAGTATGGAAGGAGAAAACATGTTGCGCCGACCCCAGGTAACTGTGAGAAGGGCAGGATAGTGATGAATCTTGAAAAAAACGACAACTTTCTATTGGATTTGAAAAGCAAGGCGTTTGGTTCGGATAAGGGCCACGCGGCTCACTTCCATACGCGTTTTGTTGTACACCCCACGCTTTTTTTACAATAAAATCTTTTTTTCTTACACTATTGTTAATTCAAATTGGTTAAAATTTATTTTCTATTTTTTAGTAGGATTTTCTATAAAAGCGTATTTTGTTAGTTTTTTTAAACTATTATTTATTTTTATAATACAATTAAGTGTTTCGTATTTCCAGGTAAGCACCGAGAAGGGTACTTTGTTGCAGTGGCAGAAGAGACCAATGGCTATTGTGGCCAAATTTATATCTAAATACTTAGATAGTAGTATGAACGGATGGAAATAGCTTTGAGTGTTTGAATAAAAACGACTTAAATTGTATATTATTATGTATATTTGACAGGTGTTTTTGGTGAAACAGTCACAACAAAAATTTGAATTCAATTATAATGATCGAATGCTTAAGTATTTTTATTTGGTTTTCCTACCTAAGTTGATAGCCTTGAGAAGCTATTTCAGCGTAACCTTAAATAGTAGGTGAGCTCATGGGGCTCAAATCTGACGACGTTGCTAACACGAACCCTAGCAAGAGCCGTGCTTCGCAGAATCTACCACCAGATCGGGAACGCGACCCACTGAGAAGATCCGGCAAGAAACTCAGTGGGCTGTGTCTGTGGGTTAATTTACTCTTAGAGCCCTTCGTCGCAAGCGACGTGTTCGACGAGAACGGTGACCGGTGCTTGAGGTACTTAAAAGCACCGTTAGTGGATCGGGAGGATCCGAGATGACGCGACGATGCTAACATGAACCCTAGCAAGAGCCGTGCTTCGCAGAATCTTCCACCGGATCGGAAACGCGACCCACTGAGAAGATCCAGCAAGAAACTTAGTGGGCTGTGTCTGAGGGTTAATTTACTCGTCGAGCCTTTCGTCGCAAGCGACGGGTTCGACGAGAACGATGACCGCTGCTTGAGGTACCTAAAAGCACCGTTAGTGGATCGGGAGGATCCGAAATGACGTGTTTTGGGCGACGTCGACTGCTTTCCATTCTGTCCGCTGGATCGGGAATGCGGTTTTTACTTCACGCAGCATCTGATAAAAATGATTTATTACGAATAAATTAATTTATTGGATGGAGAGTCAGTCACACTGCTTTTCTGAGAAAATTTCATTTTATTCGTGTAAAAAATAAGAACATAAGCTAATTCGATAAATGGGGCTTTGTAATTACAATTAAAACATCAGAGATACTTTTTTATAAACCGTGAAAGATGGTCAAGTTGACTTTTAAATAGTTCAAATTTTATTCTTTAACTTTTTTATTTTTTATTGCCCGTGCAGGCAGACGAGCGTACGGCACGACCTGATGGTGAGTGGTTACCGTCGCCCATGGACTTCAGCAATGCCAGGGGCAGAGCCAAGCCGGTGCCTACCGTTAAGTACTTTTGTCTAATTAGCTAAGATTTGGATTTGGATTTGGACTCTTTGGATTTAAAGGAAGGAAAAATATAAGACAGCTAACATGTCAATGGATTGTGTCGGCTTCTGTGTACCACACGATGCGCATATCCAATTTTTTCCCTCCAAACGGTTCGTAGCTGTTCGCTACGTCAGTACGTAGTGAAGCCTCGTAGCAGCCGGGTCTACGGCTGGCGCTACGAAATTCTTTTGTCATTAAAACATTGAAATTCTCTATGAAAAATCCAGGTTTTGTATTATAAATCTATTAGATAAATCTAATGAGAATACAAACGTTAATTTTAAAGGATAATTAAAAGTGCTGGGGCAGTGTTAATTGATTTGTAGTTTTAATCGTTTGCGGGAGGTGAAAGATTTATTTTTCGTCAAATATCGTGGGAAAATATTATGTGCGGTGAATTTTTCAAATGTTTCACGTAAATTTATGATAATATGAACGGTAAGTGTTAATTTTTTTTGGTTTATTTCTGGAACAGAATGTAAATAGGTCGAATGTAATCGAAGGCTCACTGGGCTTACATATCTGGGTTAAACGGAATTATTTGCATTTGCATTTTGACTTTGCAAACGTTTTCATTCGGTACACGCAAAAAATCCAACATGTACATAATTTGTATTCAGCCATGATTGTTTCGTCATGTAACAATTGCAGTTGAGACACCGACCTCATGCCTCAAAGTGGCCGACAACGCTGATCCCAGGTAGTCTATCATATCATCTGACCATATGCCGAAAAGCTGGTTGCATAGTCGAATAATTGTTATTGCATAGTCGCATAATTGTCACCAACGTTATTAAATGATCGCAAATGAAAACATTATTTCTTCCCGACGCTGAACTCATAGCCATCAGTACCCTGACGGTTTCTGCGGATCAATCACTCACCCTTGTTTGAAAGCTGAGACAATAGAAGGCAGCATTTATGTTGCCGTGTATACAGGTCCTAACTCTTAATGATGTTAGGTCGTCGTGTGAGTCCGCATATTTAGGCACCACTAGCCTGTGTTCGAAAAAAAAAAGTTTAATTGCAAAGCAACAACTGTCATACGTATTTTTATAAGTTTCTCTTTGTTTTATCTATGGTTGTCAATAAACTGACAGCGACGAGATGTGCATCCTAATTTTTTTTTAATTGTAAAATCTTCCTCAAAACCCTAAATATAAGCAAGAAACTGTCAGCTACAGCCTGCTTATTTCTACCGTGAAGCCGTATTATGTTCCAGCTTGGAATGGGGCAGCCGTTGTACTATAAAACTGAGACTTAAAACTCATAAAAAAGTCTATTGGCTCCGATAACCGCTTAATATTACTGTTACTGGTGGTCTATTACTGGTGGTAGGACGCCTTGTGAGTCCGCATGAGTAGGAACCACCACCCTACATATTTCTGCCGTGAAGAAGTAATGCGTTTCGGTTTGAAGGGTAGGACAGCAGGTATTGTTACAAGTGAGACCTTAGAAATCATGTCTCAAGGTGGGTGGTAGCATTTACGTTGTAGATGTCTATTGCAGGTGAGCCGTGAGCTCGTCCAGCCATCTAAGCAATAAAAAAAATACTAGGTGTGTTCCTCCATATATTAAAGCAAAAAAAACACTGTTAACCAACTTCAATACTGGTCCTAAGTGAGTAGGTAGGTTATTATTTTAAGGTCACTGTAGAGTGTCGTAAAACACACTCTCCAACTAGCTACGTCAAAAGTAGCTTGGTAAATCTCTGCAGTCGCGTAAGGGGGATTAAGTGATCCCTATACAGCGTCGCTGTTCCGAAGTTTTCACTTAGTGAAACATCTGATACTTAGAAGAGCAATTTTTTTTTTTTTTGGCACATGCCGGTACGAAAGCTCTTCTCTATTAGATTAAAATATGTTTGTTTTTATAACAGTATATAAAGCAATTGAGATATTTATCTAAACTAGACGACGAAATGTTATGCAAAATATTAGCATACGCCTATAAATTTATATTCTGTAATTTAACTTATATAGTGCATCAATGGCGTATTGTAATTGTAGTGGTCTAAATTTGACTATAATTCACAATCACAGATTTCGCCAAGACTAGAAAAGTAATATTAAAGACAAACAATATTAATCTGTTCTCAATTTGACCACAGACTAACAATAAACAAAAGAATTTAAATGCGTGTGTGTGTGTCAAACACATGGTAGTGTGTGTAATGTTTCCTTTATTGATTTAATGTGTTATTTATGCATAATTTCAAGAAGATTAACATTCTGCACTCCTACTCTATATTCTCTATAAGTGTGGGAAATTTCGTACTCCTCCGTCTGCGCAATTTTTGTAAAAAGAGATCCAAAGTTTTTGCTTCACATATTAATTTATAACTAGAGGTCCCGCAGTAGTCGAAATTCGACTATAATTAATTGGAATAGTAAGTTTGTACACTATTATGATTGTATTTTATACTTCTATAATCACAAATTTGGCCAAGGCTACACTATAAAAAAATATTAATAAAGACAAACAATATTTAATCTATTCTCAATTTGACCACAGACGTCAAGAACAAAAGTTTGACAATAAATAGTATGCATGCGTGTGTGCGTCAAATACGTGGTATGTAGTGTGTGTAATGTTTTCTTTATTGATTTAATGTATTTTTATGCACTATTTTTAAAAAATAGTAGCATTGTGCACTTCTTCTCTATATTCTCTATAAGTGTGGGAAATTTCGTACTCCTCCGTGTGCGCAATTTTCGTAAAAAGGGATACAAAGTTTTTGCTTCACGTATTAATATATAAATTATGTATTCTGTGAAGACTCATTCTAATTATTCTAGCGGATAATAAAGAAAGAAAGCTACGCATAGCAATGTAGGTAATTGCGTGCTGACTGGCTTGTTAAAATAGCTTCGTTTTACGACTACGGATCTTACGTGTAAAAACGTAAGGTGTAATTTGGTGTGCGCGTCTATGTTGTTTAACGAAGAAAAAGTATTGTAAGCGTATTACTCTGTGTTTATGCCAGGCTTTTTAAGCCTACAGTTGGATTAACGTGACTAAATGTTTTGAATGACTATTGAGAAACATCATTTTGGAGAAGATTTACTGCAATAACGCACAACACTTACTTTAATAACGAATCTGATAAATATGAATTCGTCACAAAAAAAAATTTAAATTGTCTTTGTAGGCAGACAAGTATACGGGCTACCTGATGGTGATGGTTTCCATCGCCTATGGATGTCAGCAATGCCGGGGGCAGAGGCAAGCCGCTGCCTATCATTAAGTACTCTCCGCAAACCTCGTTTGAAGAAGGACATGTCATTGCGCTCGGGATTTCCAAATTCGCGAGCATTCGCATCGTGACGCGACTTACAAAGTTGGACCAGTCCTAAGTGTCAGTGTTAGTATAAAAAAGAGTGCGTCTCAGAACGCCCGACAGAAGAATAATCTTAAAGTAATCTAAGTTGAACTATTTAATATTGAAATTGCTTAAATTGAGAAAAGCCTTAGATTATTACTTAAATTTTATGTATATTCATATGATAATGTAAGGAAAATTGTAATACAACATATCTATCTAGATGCACAAAAATTTATTGCCGTTCGTTAGTCTCGCTAAAACTCGAGAACGGCTGGACCGATTTCGCTAATTTTGGTCTTGAATTATTTGTGGAAGTCCAGAGAGAGAGTTTAAAAGGTATATAAATATGAAAATGCTCGGAATTAAATAAAAATAATAATTTTGTTTTTCCTTTAACGTGTCCCCCGTCGGACGGATGCCTTTTGTTTGTTTTAAGTCTGTTTTATACAATAGTTTAGGTCTTTTATTTATCGATTGAGGCACTACGAAGTCTTTCGGGTCAGCTAGTCATGAAATAAAAATTGAAACCGCAAAAATAATGATAATAATATGGATGTAGTCGGGATGAACTTATGACTAGAAATTGAGAAGAACAGAAAAGCTAGACGTGTAGCCTTAGTAGCTTTTGTAGGCAGCGGCTTGGCTCTGCCCCTGG